CCCCCCCAGTAGCAGGAATTCCAGTGCATCAGCACCGCAGGCACCCGCCGTGAATTTGTTTTGGAGAAGCCGTGACCCAACCGGTGTCAAGCGTGAAGTTTTGCATCCTCTCCCTGGCAAAACCTCCAATCCTCTGGAAAACCGACTTGAAATCAAGTATTCAATGGGGACATCTAGGGGAAATGCCCGACGGTGCAGCCGCGCTTGACAACATCTCTGTTCTTAACAGAGGGCTTGGTGGCAAATGGTTGTGGGGGCAAACCCCAGCGACACCAGCACCACCAGCTCGGGCATTTTGCCCCGTGGCCACATCCCATTAACGAGCCCAGGGCGGAGGCGCGGGAGGGGGCAAACCGTGTGTAACGCGGGTGAAACTCGGCACAGGCTCCTGCCTCGAGAACACCTGGGCTCGGTGAGTTCTCATTAGTTCCCTGATACATTATACCCCAGAGCACAGGGGCTCTCCTTGTCTTTGGTGTTAAGACAAACTGGGTTCATCCTGGTACAATCAGCCCTCGCATTTCATTTGGGAATGTCCTGATACTGATGCTAAAATACTATTTACAACTCTGGTTCCTGGCAAGTTGTGGCCGCATGAGAATTCCAGCTGCCTTTTTTGAAGAAAGTTTTGTGTTTACCTACTTATTCCCTTCTCCCCACTGAGTTGTAGGAAAAGCAAGCTGAAAATGCAACCCAAGGATATCCCTGAAACAGAAAGAAGCTGAAAATAACCGAGCACCTTTTTTCACCTCACTTCATGGGTTTTGGATCTGATACAATGTGTGGATTGGGTAGTGCTGGAGTAAGAACAGAACAGAATCAGAGCAACTGCTTTCAAAATTTCATACTTTTAATCTCAATTTTTCCAGTGTTTTAACTCTCAATTTTTTTAATGTTATCATCCTTATTAATAGTAGCATTTTTACTTTATTCTACTAGGGAGCCTGGGCATTGTACATAACCATAGAAACATTGCTTGGATGGGATCCCCAGACATCACGTAGGGCAGCTTCCCGCTTGGAGCGGGAGTGTCGGCAGCCCTGGACCAGGTCAGGCAGCAATCTGTCCAGCTGAGTCTCGAAAAACCTCCCAGGATGGAGCAGACACGACCCCCCAGGTTACCTGCTCCGGGGCACACCACTGTCCTGGGGGAAGGTTTTTCCTGATGTCCCACTGGACGTCCCAAGCTGCGGCCATCACCCTGTGTTCTGTCATCTGTCTCCCTGTCGTCTTTGTAATTGCCCCTACAAGAGCTCTGGGCACGTATTGGGGAGATCTGTCCTTATCAGGTGCTGTAAAGGTATGGAATCCCAGACAGATCCCATGCCGAAGGGCTCGCAGTGTAGGCAGATGCCCTGTAGACTCTCTGAGGGTTAGGCTGATCAGAGCGGGGCTCAGAGAGGTGATTTCTCTGCTGGCACAAATTTTGCAAACTCAAGTTACCCCTTTGAAAGCTTCTGAGCAACTCTGATTCAGCACAGCATTTTGAGGGCTGGAGCATTTTTTATCCAGTGTTTGATACCCTATGAGCAGATTTGCTACCTCTTGGCTCCACAGCCAAAGGGAATCAGCCATTTGAATTCTTTCCACCCGTTCCTTGCAGAAAGCTCACAGGTGGCAAACCAAGTTGGCAAACAGGTGAATTATCTACCAATGAATACTACTTCTTACTGTTTCTCAGCCGGTAAATCAGAGAAAGAGAATATAAGCTCCAGAAATGCAAAAAAACCACCCTCAAACCTTTGCAAATCTGCCCCAAGCTGCTGGGAGCACCCTGATCCTATGGACAGACGGTCACCAGCATCACCACTGCGTTAACTATGACCGCCCAGCGTCGGCACAGTCCTCGGCAGCATGGGCTATCAGGGATGAGCTCGCGCCCAGCATTGCGACCCAAGGAGAAGAAACTGCTGACCTGACCGCAAGACTACGCCCAGCTCCACGTTTTAAGTGTTGGGTTACAGAGGGTCTGTCGACCAGAGTAAGCCAGTGGAGTTTGATTTCATTAGTAGTATTCCTGGTACAGGTTGGGGTAAGGAATAAAGAGCACTTTCACTGGTTATGGCTGTGCTGGATTGAACTCGTTCTGGGTTGGAAGAGGAATGGGTGATAAACACTTTATGTAAATATAAGAGCTGTTCAGCTTCCTAACAGCTAACTTCCACAAGAAATTGGGCATTCAAAAGCAGCCATCTCTGAGCTGCAGCTCCCAGACACGTTGTGCAGGACACTGTCAGGTACTGGAAACCAGAAACATCGGAGCCCTGGCTAAGAGGGAAAGCAAAGCCCTGCAGTGGCTGCGACGTAGGACCTCCTCAGCATGGACGAACAGACTTTGGGGTACCACTTGTCTGAGGCTGAGATTTGCATTACAGTCTAAAATAAATCCTTAAGTCTGTGTTATCTTGCACATTCTAAATAGATTTAATGGTCTTGAGCACTGTAAGAATAATTTCTGTCACTTGATTTTAGTACCTATTGCCCTTTAATGCCTCCACATCTGAGGGGAATTCTTGAAAAGTTGGGAAAAGCATTGAAGTTGTGGGATGAAGGTTGTGTCCGGTTCTAGGTCAGAATTTTCCTTCTGTGAGGGGTCATTGCCATGGCACTTTCTGTTTTGCTGATCTTCCATGGCCAGAGGAGGTGAAGCTGAACCCTGGGTGTTGTCTGCAGCATCTGTGTTTAGATGAAGTGTACGGCTTGTCGTCAGTAAGAAATACCATGGCGCTGGCAGAGTATTTCGTGCTCCTGGCTGTTCATTGAAAGAGTTACCTGAACAGTAAGTACTTCTAAAAATGAGATTGGCATTAATGCTCTAAAATAACAGGCCCCGTGTAATGCTTTGAAAAGATACACACAGAACACTACATCGCTTAGGATTCAGAACCAGAGATCACAGACATTACAAATATTGCACTTCAGTGTTACAACAAATGCAGCACTCTGTAATACTAATTACCTAGCAGCTTGGTTAATACAAGTGCTTGGCAAGACTCCAAACATCTTTCAGATACGGCATATGTCACCGCGTCCTCGCTGCTCTGTCATGCCCTGGCTGCTCTGGAAGGTTACATGGCCTGGCTGCTCCTGCATTGGCTTCTGAAATAGGTACGGCTCAGGGGACGCTGCAGAGCCACTGAGGTGCATTTTCAGCTTACCCCAAAGGCATTCATTCCCCTTCCCCCTTCCCTTGCCTCCTTCCGTGTTTGTGAGACAGAAAAAGGTCCGAGAGCCTACAAAACCTGTTTGATTTTACGGTATTATCGTCCTCTGCATCCCAGCAGCATGCAAAGCCACAGGCTTGCTAGTACTGTACAAACATGATAACCAGGTCCTGGCATAGCGAGCGGATAACCGACGTAGGAAAAACCCAGACCAGCCATAAAGGAGATCTTTACAGCTGTGCAAGCAAGATGCCAGGAACACGGGCAAGGGGGGATTTCTGGCTTGCTGAAGCTAATTCCTTGGTACTGCAGCAACCTCATCGTGTAATCCCTTCCATAAACCGAGTGTGCGCTGTGTTAGAAAGCAGGTGGGTTTCTTGCCAGGAGTGTCCTCCACATGAGGCTGCTTGCAACCCCCGTCTGCTGGTTCACAGCTTCCCCACCTCCCCCCTGACGTTCTTCAGTCTATTCCCATGTTTCTGGTTTGTTGGAAAAGTCCTTTTTTCCTCCAGGGGTGGGGTGGAAGAGGACAGACAGAAAATTATGAGCAATTTAACACTGCCTTCTGTGCAGAAATCACATACACCCCTTTCATAAATCAGGCTATCCTGTTAATACTGTTCTGTGAATTCTGAACAGTATCTCTTGTCTGCCCCGGTGTTTTAATTGCCTGTGCAACCTATCCGGGAACAGTGGGCATTTAAAATAAAATAAATCCTGTTAATTATTGCTCTCAGCTTTATGCAGACGATGCTGAGAGCTCACTGTTTTCCAGATCTGCAGTTTTATTGCTTTCTCCATTACGTCCCTGACCTGAATAAGGACCACCAGATCATGCTCCTCTTCGACTTGCTGGACCGAAATGCGAGGGGAGGATTTGCTGTAATGAGTTCTACATGGTGGCACACATCCTCCTGTCCCACGAGGTGTGTACCCTGCGAGTCCTGGAGTCGGTACAGGGACATCTGCACCATCCAACACCCCTGTAAAGGGAACCAGCTCACCGGAGCTGATCTTTACTCATGGCATGCAAGGGATGGAGAGGGTGCCTGGGTCCATGCTGCTGCATAGGAAAGGAAAGCAGGGAAATGAGCAGTCCTCCTGTTAATACCAACCTTGCTCCTCTGGGATAAATCCACCCGCGAACCTTTTGGAAGGCAGGAACCATCTAAACACTCCTCCCAGCTCAGGCTGCTCATCTTAGTTCTTCAAAAAACAAGCCCTCGGCTGTGTCTACCTGTGGGGAAGAGAGCAGAGCATCTCTTTTCACCCATCGGTTCTCACTAGCTTGTCAGTGCAGCACATGCTGATGCCCTTCTTCAGCCTCCCCAGCATCAGCTACAGCCCAGGCCGGAGAGGGACCGGTGCCTTTTCAGGGGAAAGCAGCGAGGATAGCAGGCTGGGCTGAGGGAGAGGGGGGGCAACGCCAGGGTGACCCCCAGAGCTCAGCCTCACTGTTGGACGTGTCCTGCGGCTCCGCTCTGGACCAGGCACCCAGCTGAGGGCCAGCGCTCGGGGCTGCTGCCTGCGGGACTTGGGGAGGAAGGAGAGGAGCCAAGTGCGGGATGTGGCCCTGCGGCATGCGGGAAGGACGGGAAAGGACCTCACAAAGCAGCCTTGGAGCTCGACTGGCTGTCAGTAGGTCTCCCCGGCACAGCCGGCAGCCCGAACCCAGCCGGCGACGGCCACGTGCTCCCGCATGGCTCTGCAGCAGGAAGCACCGGGATTTTGGTATTTCCTGTGGGCGCGACGAGTGGGAGGTCACCTTTATTCTCTGGAAATGAGACCCGGTTGGTATTCCATGTATTCTTTCCAGGCAGGAAATCAGTGCTTATCATCCGTTTCTAAACCTTTCTGCCCCGAAACAGAACTGTCCTGAAAAGCATTTCATTCACCAGCACGCAGGACCTGCCTTTCAACTGCTGGATGTAGACAGGGATAATATGACTGATTTTAATGAGTTTGAAGCCACAAGGTTTCTCTTCAACATCCAGAAAGAAGAACTTACAAGGATATTCAAGGACTTCAATATTTCTGGAGAAATTACAGTCAAAAGATAGGCCATGAAAATGCCCCTAAATTCAAAGTTAATCCTTGGGGTTCATTTTGCACTGCAGCCTGCAGCCACTTCTCACTCAAAAGCCTGAGTTTTCTTCCAGTTGGCTTCAGGAGCGGGCCTTTGGTGACTTACTGCACAGCCTGAATTGAAAACACTTTAACAGTAAGTTAGCAACAGAAAGAAATAATTGTTTGGGGGCAAACCAGGCATATTCCTCTGTCTGAGGAGACTCTAATGGGAGGAGGTGGGCAGGACTGGCAGAAGTGCCTTTATTTAAAGCATTTTTTTTTTTCTGAGTTCGCTTGTGGCTTTCCAAGCTCTCCGCAGTCCATTTTCTGGGCTGCTGGCCAGGGGGGCACCTCAGTGGGGTACACTTGAACTTGAAGCTCCTTCTCGAAACATTACAAGTGCCGTACCTTGGCTTCTGCCCATGCCATGGAGATGCTGATGCCAGCTAAGAGCCCCAGGGGAAGCGCTTTCTCTTCTCTGATGGGTCCCTCAGTTTGACCTTAAACCAGCTCCAGGCTCCAAGGAGAGGTCACAGGGACCTCACCCTTCCCTGCCCCATGGCAGGCAGCAGCTCCCTGCAACCAGAAAGGGAACAAATCTGGTAACAGCACCTCCCCTCCAGCTCTGCATTTACCGCGTCCTCCTTACAGAGGTGCATGCACACACCCCTTGCCCATTTGCTTTTGTCACCAGCTCACCTTTGCCTCTGTCCGGTCACTGGTGCTCCTTCAAATCCCTCCCTGCTCTGAAGCACTCTCTGCTTAATGACCACCTGCAGCTACACAGGTAGGTGATCAGTCATTAATAGACTGTAGACAGCTCTTATCTCTGTCACAGCTTCACACCATAGAATCATAGAAAGTTTTGGGTTGGAAGGGACCCCTAGAGGTCATCTAGTCCAACCCCCCTGCAGTGAGCAGGGACACTGCTAACCAGATCAGGTTGCTCAGAGCCCCGTCCAACCTGGCCTTGAATGCTTCCAGGGATGGGGCCTCCACCACCTCTCTGGGCAACCTGTTCCAGTGTTTCACCACCCTCATTGTAAAGAATTTCTTCCTTATAGCCAGTCTAAACCTACCCTGTTTTAGTTTAAAACCATTACCCCCTTGTCCTGTCACAGCTGGCCCTACTGAAAAGATTTTCCCCATCTTTCCTATAGGCCCCCTTTAGGTATTGAAAGGCCGTAATCAGGTCTCCCCGCAGCCTTCTCTTCTCCAGGCTGAACAAGCCCAACTCCCTCAGCCTGTCCTCATAGGAGAGGTGCTCCAGCCCTCGGATCATTTTTGTGGCCCTCCTCTGGACCCGCTCCAACAGTTCCATGTCCTTCTTGTGCTGAGGGCTCCAGAGCTGGACGCAGTACTCTAGGTGAGGTCTCACCAGAGCAGAGTAGAGGGGCAGAATCACCTCCCTTGACCTGCCGGCCACATGACTTCTGCATCTCAGCACGTTCCAGGAGCACATTTAGCAAGACAGCCATTAGTAACAGAGGGAGATCCCTTCTCTTTCTCCTCCTTTCTGCTGCTAGGTTCCTGGGCTATTGTATTTATTGATAATTCTCCTTCTCTACATTCCACCACCAGTATCCTCTTCAATTATTTGTTACAGGCAGCTGTTGCATCTCTCCTGTAAGCCCTGCAGGGCTTGCAGCCTGTTTCCTGTGTGCTTTAGCGGTGCAGAGAGGTATCAAAGCCTCAGTCCTGCTTGGGGCCACGGACAGCTCTCTAATGACCTCAGAGTCGTTTCCCAGAATAAGCTGTTTCAGCCCCAAGTCGCATTGATCCTGTCCTTTCATCTCGAGGCTGCCTGATTAAAAGGCCACTTTAAGCAGGAGCAGCATGGCTGTGGTACAGCCAAGAAGGCACCCCGTTCCCCCCTTCCACACCGTAACCCCAGCTGTTATGAATCGCTCCAGCATCTGCAAGTCATTAGAAATGGCAGAGAAACAGCCATATGCCAGGGAGGTGCCCTATTAGCCTGTAACACGGTGGGGAGGAGCCGCAGGCAATCAGTTGCAACCAATTTCTCCGGAGTCAGTTGGGAAACCAGAGCAAGTCGGGGATGGGGATGAGTGCCTGGACTCAGGGTCTTTCTCTGAAATAACTGTTCACATCGGGCAAGGCTGCCTTGCTAAGCTAGGGGCCTATCTCCTCTCCAAAATGAGCAACCACACCACAGGGCATTCAAGATGTTTGCAGTCTTCTGTATTGGCAAACAACAACCAAAAGAGGAAGGGGATCGTGAACAGCCTCCCAGCAGGATCGGCGAGCTCCTAACAGCCTGAACAAGAACCCTTTGCCCAGCTAGGAGTAACACAGCCCCGCTTCTCCTCCCCCCTGGGCTCAGGCCAGACAGATGTACCAAACTTGTAGAAAGCGAGTAAATCAAAGGTGCTGCGGTAAAACAATTGCCTGTTGCTTTCTCCATCGCACACGGCCACCGCTCTGCCACGGGGAGGACCAGAGAGCGCTGCCCCAGGAGGGACCCGCGCAACTCGGACTGCAGCCTCGTGCCTCACGGCTCTCCCCAGGACTAAGCCCAATGTTAGCATCGTCTTCCCCCGTGTACTGCAATAGCTGCGCCTGCTCGGGATTTTGGAGACAACCTCCTGCTGTCCCCTGGGCCACTCGCTGGTTCAGCAAGCGCCATCCTCCCCAGCACTGCTATTTTGCCACATTCAGACATGCTCAGAGCAAGGCTGGTTTGAAGTGGGGCAGGCTGGTCTCTGCGACACGGAGCCGCTCACGCTGGCAGCTTCCCGCTCCTGCGCTTCCCGCTCCGCATCCCGGCCTGCGAGCCCTGGGCTCGGGCAGCTCCCTGCACCCGTGCTGCTGCGCTCGCGAGGAACAGCCCAACGACAGGAAACACTGTTTGCTTTGTTAACGAAACCGCCTAATTAAGTCCATGTGGAGAGAAAGCAAGAGAGGCAGTTTAGTTTCTCTTGCTAAATATTGACTGTTTACCCTTTGGGTACAGCAATCCAGTGAATTTATTTTCCCCCTCTCACCTTACACACAGGACACTGAGCCTTCTCCAACCTCCCTGCCATTAGAGAGCTTCCCTAATGAAGCAGCATGGCTACAGCATAAGGGACTAATTAGAACAGAAAATTCCAGTCTCTAAGCGCTGCTCCTGACCTCCCTTGAAGTGAGATTTCAGCACGGCTGTAAGGCAGCATCCCACCTCTCAGACCTCTCCAACTGCTCCAAGCCCAGAGAAAATAAACTACACAGCTGAAATCCCGACTTTCCAGGAGTATTCAGAGAAAGAGAGAACACAACGAACCACTCTTTGCAGAGCTCAGTGCCTTTTCCATAAATTACCTTGATATTTTTCGCCCAGATTCGGAGGGATCAGCCGCTCCCAGCTTTCAGCCAGATGCTCCCTATAGCATCCAGAGCAACTCTGGAGTTTCTGCGATGACCGGGGCTGTTACCCCAGCACAAGCAGCAGCAAAATTGGGACCACAGTTAAAGATCACTTCCCTCAGCACCGCCTTTGGAGCTGAGCACCGGGTACTAACACAGCACCAGTCCGCAGGAGCACAGACCGAGCGGGATGGGTACATCAGCCAAACTGGGATGCGGCTGTAGCCCGCAGAGAGCAAAGAGTGTTTGGTACAAGGCCAGGAGCAAGGGTGTAACATCCACCATAGGGCAGGAACCCCAAGCTAGGGGTAGCACACCATGCAAGTTTGTATAGCAAGAGACAGTTCAGTGAAATATGACTGTAGGCACAATACAAACCTTAATTATGTTCTGTTAACGAAGAATGGAAACAAGGCAGGGTATGTAACACAGCTCTAGAAACCATACGTAACCTTCTCCTGTAACCTTGTATGCTGTGGGGTGTGAAGCAGCACCCGGTTTCACCGCTCGCAGGAACGATGGAGAAAATTTCAGCTCCTGTGCGCTTTTGACGCAGAATCTACACCCTCTTGGGGTTCTGCTAGGTCAGCAGCCAGCCCGGAGGTCCCCAGCCCATTTTGTGCACCGAAGCGTGCTACAGCTGCACAGCAAGGCCAGCTTGGGGTGGCATGGGTATGCACAGACGTGAGGACACAGGACGGGATGGGACGGACATCCCTCTGCCCGCCTGACAAACGACCACACTTGGGTCAGCTAGAAGATGGGTACAGAATGATCGCAGAGTTTTATAATCCTGGTGTTTGAGGGCATCGGCTCTGAGGACTTCTCTGTCCATGCTGGGGGAGGTGGACGCAGGGTTGTCTCATGGGTCAGAGCAAAGGGCTACAAACAAGCCTCTGTGCTGGTTATTTTACATACACACACACGGGAATATGTTTTATATAAAAGAGATGATATATATTCACACATATAAAAGGAATATATATATGTATGGGATAAAATTAAAAAGTTCCAGGAAAATCACACTTACTTGTTTATAACTCACACCATAAATTCTACCATGAAATTATCCTAAGATAAAAAAAGAAAAAAGAAACATTTAACTGTGATAATATTAGACCAAAGTGGCCTACAAAAAAATTATTCCTACTCCCTCTGATACATTAGGTAGTTAATCAAGACTATAAAAGCGGTGACCTGAATTAAGACAACACGCCAGTTAATGTAATTATAGGACAATTACACAGATCCGTTACTTTGCACCGTTCGCCGAGGAGCCAGAAGCACATCTGCAGAGCGCGGGGGCCGGGAACAGGAGGGCCACGCTGGGGGTCCGAGCGCGTCTCCAGGCTCTGCATTCTCCACGGACCGCACACCTTACTCGCAAGATAAAACGCTGTCACACACCGAAGTTATTACCAAAACGTCTCTCTAGGGTATCAGACAGGTAATGAAAAAGTTGTAGAGCTCCAGCGCAGAATTAAAAGCCCTATTTAAGAAATTTAAAAAGAAAAACAACACCGAGTTTATTTCTTAAGGCATGGCATTTCCAGGATTACTTTTATTTTTTAAATGCGGGGGGGAGGGGGGGGAAGCTTCTCTCTTTTGTTTTCAATACAGGAAATTT